TTCAAAATTCACCTTACTTTTTCCTCGTATATGTCAGGCTAAATTGACTAAATAGTATACAGAGATAGGCATTAACAGACCGGCTTATGCGACCAATCTTACCGTGTACGCGTGACGTGATATCGTTGATAAAGGAATCGACATAAATTCGGTGAATTTGAATTGTCATCGAAATGTGCCACTGACGTAACTTTAAAATAGATCAATAAGAGAATAGCCTAAACCAATGTAAGTTCCGCTCTCACCTAGATGAGGCTAAGAGTAGCAGTAGGCCGTATTCTTAGAAATTGAAGCTTTAACCGACCTAATGAGGGGCGATAGGGAACAAATGACCAAGTCGCTGGAGGCATTTAGAGGACGCTACTAACATTCGAGATTAGTATAATGACAAGTGTATTTTCTCCCGAAGGAGGGAGACAACTAATGTATTTGATGACAAGCCGTTTCTTGTCTATTTTTGCCGCTGTCTATCAAGAAGCTAGTACCGGCTACTCTATCCTTAGAGAGATCCAGGAACAAGAAGAGAGACCAGGTTGCAGCGGCCATTAAAGAAGAGCTACTTTCAATACAACTCGGTATCTTACACAGTCGTTTGGTGCAGAGTTTATGCTACCGACTTGAATCCCCGACGACCGTAATTACGTCAGGTATGGTCATCTGGCGCCTTGTTACAAAGTCGGGAGAACAAGTCACTCGGATGAGCTGTGATGTGAGCTTGATGGGCAGCGATATTGATTTTAAAATTGATAATGATTGTGATAAATTGTTGAATGAGCTTGAAACAGATTCAGAACCAGTATTACTCTTCAATTGTGACAGTGACAATGAAGAAAGCGGCAAAAAAAGTGACTATAATATCGCTTGTAAAAAAAAACCAAATATGATAAGTAGTAACAAGATTGTAATCATGTTATAGATAGAATTATTTTTGTGATGATTTGATTAAATAGAATTTTTTAAATTTGTATCATTGAACATATTATTGAACATATTATTTTTATTGAACAGTAAAAATTAAATGGTATTTATTAGATGATTGACTTTTGTACATCAATTTTGAAATTGTACGTCGGTCCTAATATTCATTGCCATAGTTATACGATCTTATATAGAATCCTCAGTGGTTTCGAAGTCGAAGAACGTACCTGCCTCTGATCCTTATACTTGCCTTTATGCGTTGGGTCCCCGTTATAGTTAAGGTGTGGGCTGTAGTCTGAGCAAAATATATTTGAACATTGCAATCATTATTTCAATAATTTATGAACGATAATTGCTTCAACAATTGAATTTTGCATTCAGTAAATAAAAATATTGACCTTAAAGAAAAATAGAGGTCCCCATGTGATTTGTTCATTGCGGCATACTAAATTATAAAAATTATGATTCTAAATTGAATAAAAACCAAAATATCAAATATTTTAAAGACGAGTTCATATTGAAGCATGTAATCGGCTTTTCGTCGACAGTGATTCTTCTCCCCACCACTGCTCCGGGCCATGGAAGTTTTTTTTCAATAACTGTTGTTGACTACAATCCATATTTATTACATGAAGCTCAAATAACATTTTATTTACATTCAAGAGATATATAGTATTTGCCAAATACTGACTATTGAAAAAAGTTGTTAATACTGAAAGTATTATTAATACAATCGATTAGAAACTTCTAAGCGCCATACTACTGTGGGCAAAAAGTAAGGTGAATTTTCAATTTAAACTTCGCGGGCTTAACATTTCGGGCTAGTTCTTTTTTTCTTGAGTTGGTAGGACTGCGAATGACATCTGGGACAAATTTCATGTCAATGTCATCATCAGTAATATATTTACGCTTGTGTTTACCAAACGACCAAGAGTGCATGTTTCGATTTTTACAATGTCTGATTTAATTGAGCAAAGAAGTGCCATCAAATTTTGTTTGCCGAATGAAATTTCGGCTGCGGAAACGTTGAGGATGTTGCGGAAGGCCTTTGGTGATTCTACCATGTCGCAGAAAAATGTTTATAAGTGGTACAAAGACTTCAAAGAGGGTCGAGAACGTGTTGATGACTTGGAGCGCTCCGGACGACCATCGACGTCAACAGATGACCAACACGTCAATAAAGTGAAGGAATTAGTGCTCGAAAATCGTCGGTTGACTGTTAGAGACCTTACTGATATGTTCGGAATATCAGAAGGATCTGTGAAAACAATTTTGAAAGACCATTTGGGCCTACGAAAAGTCAAATCTCGTTTGGTACCGAAAACGCTCAATTTCTTGCAAAAAAGTCGCCGCGTTGATGTGTGTGAAACAATGCTTTCTGACTATCAGGACAAGCTCAAATGCATGATTACTGGAGATGAGACTTGGATTTATGCTTACGACCCTGAAACAACCGACCAATCAAGCGAATATCGTGCTAAAGGCGAGGCCAGACCGAAAAGAGCACGTCAAAGTCGTTCAAAGATCAAGGTCATGATGACAGTTTTCTTCGATTTTCGTGGTGTGGTGCACTATGAATTCCTTCCACCCGGCCAAACTGTTAATAAGGAATATTATTTGAGCGTTATGCGTCGTTTGCGTGAAGCAATTCGTCTAAAAAGACCAGAATTATGGGCCAACAACTCTTGGTTTTTGCATCACGATAATGCACCATCTCACACTGCACTCGTTCTTCGTGACCATTTCGCCAAAAATTCGACGCATATCGTTCCGCAACCACCGTATTCGCCTGATTTGGCTCCGTGTGACTTCTGGCTATTCCCAAAACTTAAGAGACCACTCCGGGGAACGCGTTTCGAGTCGATTGAGGAGATAAGAGCTGAATCGAAGAAGGCGCTGATGGCTATACCGGAAAGGGACTATTTGGCATGTTTCGGGGATTGGAAAAAACGTTGGCATAAGTGTATTTTATCGGGAGGGGATTACTTCGAAGGGGATGACATTGATGTAGAAGAATAAATAAAGATTTTTCATTTTACAAACAAATTCACCTTACTTTTTGCCCACAGTAGTATCTCACAATCTATTTAAGAAAATGTATTAAATTTTTTAACAGCTTCCTTTAACGGACAATTTTCAATTTCAACATTAAAATTTTGAAACAATTTGTTTTTTAATTCATGGCAAGTTAAGTTAACAATTAAAGAAATTTTGTTTTTTTTTAATTCTCCTACCCTTATTTAATTCATATTTTCAATAAATAAAAGCAGGATATCGTAGCTAATATATACTCTACATAAAACAACCAGGAATTTTTTTCAAATATATCATCTTTTTAAGTGAATAACGAAAGTTTAAAAAAATTTTTATTTATTTTTTTAATTTTGCAAAAAATTTTGTTTTTTTTTTTTTTTTTTGATAATATATTCGCACGGCGCAGCATAAGCAAGGTTTATTTTACAATTTTTGGTATTGAACCAATTTTACTTTATAGCAAATTTTATAAGGAGCGAATTATGTTCAGTGATATTTTTACGTAAGACTTGTTTTTCGATATTTCTCACATTTAAAAAAAAACCATCGATTTTGATATTTTTTCGCATTTTTGTTAATTTGCTCACCTTTTTTAGCTCGATCACCTATAGGACTCAATGATAACTGTCACATTTCGGACCTAATTCAATTTTTGCTTTGCTTCTACATTTTACATCTAGTCATAAAGGTAATTTACTGGACTGCATGGGCAGAAGGGAATTTCGAATGATAATTCATGAAAAGCATTTATTTTAACATTTATAAAAAAAATAAATAAATAAATATAAATACTAGGTAATTCTTTAAATTTCTTGAACTGTCGATTAAGATTGGCTATTCAAATAGTATAAATTTATTCCTATAATTTGGTATATTTACTATGTAGATTACTACATACCTCCAGGTTAGGCGAATGTAGATCAGCGCCGATGCAAGAAACGTTGAATTAATCGTAGGCTCAGTTAAAACGTGAACGGGAACTAGTTTAAGATGTATTTAATTATGTTCATTCCGTGATTTCTATTTGATCTGTTTATGGTACGTAATTTTAAAAGTGTCTCGAGAAATGGACAAGCAAATCATAACCTCATTTGTGTGCATCTAAGGATATATTGTATTTTGAGGCAGATGAGCCAAGAAATATGACTGCGAATGAATGAAAGTGAATGCAGTCGAGGAAAAAATAGAGAAGCTGTAGGGTTGGAAGATTGATTTAGGAGAAGAAGTCGATAACAAACTAAATGAAACGCTAATATATACTCTACATAAAAAAACCAGGAATTTTTTTCAAATATATCATCTTTTTAAATGAATAACGAAAGTTTAAAAAAATTTTTATTTATTTTTTTAATTTTGCAAAAAATTTTATGTTTTTTTTTTTTTTTTGATAATATATTCGCACGGCGCAGCATAAGCAAGGTTTATTTTACAATTTTTGGTATTGAACCAATTTTACTTTATAGCAAATTTTATAAGGAGCGAATTATGTTCAGTGATATTTTTACGTAAAAGAAAAATAAATAGAAATAAATTAGAAAGTAAAAGGATAGATACATAAAAAATCAATTTTGGAATCATCGGAGTCAGACGATTATGACTCGAATATCAACAGTGAACTCGTGGACGTGGAAGCGAGTTTTACGTTTGGAATTTTCTTTTCACAAAAAAAAAATGGTTTACCGTCAGATAATTCTTTCTTACTATAATCACTACTAAACTTTATTATTACTTCTTTATTAAACTAATACGTTGTAAGAATCACTATAGTTTTTTGAAAGCAGAAGTAATGTTAGCTTTGACTATAGTTTCTACTCTAAAATAATTTGACATAAAATCGCTCGACAAATAATTTAAAAGTTATAATATTACTGCCTTTTTATTCATCGTAAATAAATTCAAACCGAAACCGTGAATAGAGTAATGGCGTTATTGGTTGAAATACAATTAGTATCCGAAACTTTCACTTCGGACAGTGAACCGGAACAGGTTAAATTTTTTTTATTTGCATTATTTTATTTAAAATAACTATTACGATTCGTGGTTAAAACGTCAGTTTAGAAATTAAAAATATCCAATATTTGGACAAGTTAATTCAAGCACGTTAACAAGAATCACGGTAACAAGTAAATGCAAGATCGACTTTACTATAACTGTTTTTATATGAAAAGAACTCTCGTCCTAATCATAAATAGGCTTTCTATAATGTTTAAAGAAAGTTTCTTTAATGATAGTTACTATTAAGTGTTAACACTGATTATAAAGTACGATAGTCACATTTATTTTCTAAGTGTGAAAATATTTTACATTTATCGGTTAGATTTGGCTACACGTTCAAGTTCATCTTTTTTCTTTATAGCATATGAATTTGAAGACCCTTTAGCTGCATTGATTAATTCATCAGCCAAACATTCTGCTATAGTTTTGATGTTCCTAAATGCTGCTTCTCTTGCTCCAGTGCATAGTAACCAAATTGCTTGGTTAACACGACGAAGAGGCGAAACATCGACTGCTTGACGTCTAACAGTACCAGCTCGTCCAATTCTGGTGGAATCTTCTCTCGGTCCAGAATTGATTATAGCAGTAACTAATACCTGCAATCAATTACAAAAGTTGAAATATTGTTTGAACAACAAATTATTAACTATAAGAAATAGCTTTGCCGGTTTAAATATATAGGCCCCTCTAGGCCCTTCTCCATCCCACCATAAAGTGTGACGTTGACGTACGAGATACTAGTGAATTTTAAAACGTATTTTTAAAGAAAAAATGTCAAGGAATTCAATAAAAAAAATTTGTTTTTATTAAAATAACACTTTTTGAGATATGGCCAATCGTTAAAAAAAAAAAGTAAATAACTTTTGGAAAAATTGATATTAAAGTATTGTTCGCTTAATATCTTCAAAGTACACCCGTTTAGGCGTAATTTAAAAGAAAAATTCGTTTCGATAACTTAAATTATTGCAGATATAAATTTTTCGTAAAAAATTTTCAATTGTTTATAACTTTCATTATAATTATTATAATAATCTAATAATCCATACTTAAATACACAATCATATAGGCAACATGTAGATCAAGTTTCAAGATAAACCGAAACCTACCACTGAAAAATTGATCGTCATAGTCTGGAATGTACCATATTAGCCTTTGGATATGCTCGAAAACTACTAATGCGTGAGCTTACACTTATTACTGGAACCCAGAATTGTCTATGCGATCACTGGTATTATATATATTGCAACGGGGTGGATTAGCTAGTACAAACGGGGTTTATTTAAGAACAAATTCCCACGATGCAGAGCTAACCGCTTCGTTAAACACGTATGAGTACACGTGTATTCGCCTTTACGTTTGATACTTTAGTTCCAGTGTTTTCGTTCCAATAGAGTTAAGCTCACCTTAAGTCACCTGACTTGTGACACTCGACATATCTTAGGTATGAGTGACCTAATGTTTATTCCAACTAATCCCCTAGATGAAATCGGTTTAAAAATTAACCGGTGATAGATCCGTTAAACTAATAGGAAACGAAATAACGTAATGCGACGAATAAAATTAATATCGTTTATGACAAAAAAATTACAGTCTTTGATGGACCCAAAGACTAACGAACGCGAGTAGGATATACAATGTTTAACAATAATATGGGGAGAAAGAAAGAGAGAGAGAGAGAGAGAATTGAAAATTCTACCGCCAAATCTAACGCTCGGAGCGAACACAAAAATAACGCTCGCGATAGACAAAATACTTTCGATAGTATTTTGTCGCGCAATAAAAGAGAAGTGCACCTACCCTGCGGTGCAATTACGGTGATCAGACGTAATTATTTTTCAGCGAAATTAAAGGTGCTCTTGCGGGAACAGCTGCGCTGCCTCAATCGAAAAATCTACTGCTTTAGTTGTTGCTGCTGTGATGCTGCTACTTTTGATCAGCTTCCTCGCTATTACTCGCGCACGTATCCAAAATCCCAGGAAAACTTTTTGTGGAAAACGGAAAAACACAGTTAAAACTAATTGTCGGTACTTTCAAAAACAACAGCTGAGGTTTAACTGGAACTTTGAACTCTCGCGCGCCCCCTCTTTTCTTAGACGTTCGCTCTAGCATCACGAGTGCTACCGAATCGCGAACGGATCGATTGATCAAATCGACTACCGTTGCAGCTTCCTCCGAGTCCTGACTACCCGGATAGGACGAATACCCGTGATTCGCCGTTATCAGGAACCTGAAAAAAGAAAGGGAGGAAAGGAACAAAATGATTAAAATCTTTCCTCTTTTCTTTAGGCCCACTTTATTTATAGCCCTACCAGGCCTACATCATTTCTTGGCTACACATGGCGCTCGGTGCTTCGGGCAGCGCCAGTGTGTAGACTTCCTCGAGTACCGCTGGGAGTTGGTCACCCCAGGCTCCCCACAGATGTAGCAGCCACTCAGCAGCGATCGGGATTGAGCAGCCTCCCGATCTTGTTGGGTAACTACTCGGCAGACCAAGGGGTCTGCTGGGCGCTGACTCCTTGGGAGGCGGTGATCGTCACGCCTCCCACCGTGGCGGTCACACGTCCATCCTGCAACCTGACCACGATTGTGGTGTCAGGAGCCACGCGCTCGTCCACGTGGATCGTGAGCATTGGGCCAGCACCAGTAGCTCCCGGGGCTCTCTTCTCATGAGCCGTCGCCGGTAGCGCAGTGGGGAACTCCTGTCCATTATCCACGCGTAGCAGGGCTTCTCCATAGGCCCACTGACGTTGAGCCACCTCTGCCCACGTCCCGAGCAGCTCTTCTACAACCTGGTGGTTTAGAAAGCGTCCTGCACCTGAGACTGTAGATCTGCGGCGAACCGCCAAGCACTCTCCACCTCGTTGAGCCCCAGACGTACATGTTTGAAGTCGAGGAGGAGTTGGATTCGGGGGTGGTTGCAGACCCAGTGTGAAGCACCACAGGTTTCCCTAGGTCAAGGGTACTGGCTCACACTGTCCGACGTCTGAGGTACGCCGGACTTAAGGGTCTGCACCCCATGGTCCACAGTGAACTCGGAACGCTTGACCTTTTCCTGGACCTCCGTGTTCCGTGGTCGTCACGTTGCTTGGCGCCAGCTCGTACCTACCGTGCGAACTGCTTCTGCGCTTGCGCGCTCTCGAATGGTGTGCGCATGAATGCGAGGTCGAGAGTCCGTTGGAAATAAGGTCCGGGGACTGACCACCATCTTGATTCACTGCCTCGGAGGGGACGATGAGGCAGTCTCTCCGGGCAGTTCGAAGCGTATAGACATAGCGTTCTAGCTTCATCGCCAATCGAAACGTGATTTGTCGACAATCGATCTTTCCGAGATCACCTTCCTGTTTTTAAAACGGTTGACCGTCGAATTCTGTCTTCAAGTGTGTGTCATTGAAAAGCTTCTCGCGTATATATAATTGTGTGAAGGAGTGAAAGCTTATAAGAACAATTAGCGCGACCACCATTGTTCTAACAAATTGTAACGGCCAACGGCCTCGTGTGTTCCGCGAACACGTCTCGGCGTGTCGAGTGCGCAACTTCTTTTTCTTCTTTTTTTTATTGTAAGAGTGCGCGATTTCCTTTCTTTCCCTTTTTATTGTAACTTCGTGTTCTCTTTCTTTTATTGTAAAATTTAATAATAAAAGGGTTTTTATGCCGGTATGGCTTTTCCCTCTATTTGAGAATTTTTATTTAAAATACTTTAATCAATGCTATTAAAAAATTCAACTTTTTCTTTTTCTCTTTATAAATAGCTACGTCTCATTTCATGGTGCCTCCTGTGAGGTTCGAATTTCACATTTCTTTGTTGTCGCATTTCGACGTGCACGAACGTGATTCGAGCGGGAAAAGTGCGCGCGTTATTTTAGGTTGCAGAATTTAAGGCTAGGAACTCTAGTGAATCAAAGGCAACCATTCTCAAGCAGAACAGATAGCTGACACCATCTAGCGAGTGAAGTGACAACCACACTTCGATTCAACACTACTTAAAGATAAGTTTCACTCTTGTCTTCGCACTTTCGAGCGTTGAATATTGACATTCATTCATTTATAACCTAATTATAACCAATCTATCGAGTAATTACATAATCATTTATTAATTCGTTTAATCATTCATTGCCATTATTGATTCATTATTATTATTGACTCACTTACAATTAATTTATTTCTATAAAAATACTAGTTTTATTTGTGTTCATTTCGTGAATTCTATTTTTAATTATAGTTTGATTTTTGTGTTTCAAAACATATTCCCTTATAAAACATTCACAATGGAGTTCTCTGAAGACCAAAAAAAGCGCGTTGATTTTATCATACAGAAAAGTAAAACTTTAGAAAGCCATGTCAACACCCTCAAAAAATATTTAACAGAACAAAACCCTGACGTTATCAATGCCTCTTTACGTTTGACCAGTTTAACAACTCTTTATCAATCTTATGTTAAATATAACGACGAACTTATTCTTTAAAACCTGACCACGAAAGACTTAACAAATTCTTAGAATTAGAAGCTCTTTATTTTGAAACTGCCGCTACTGTCACACGCCTCAACAAGACTAACGAACTGATTGCTAACTCCACACTCAACTCAAGTAACATTACTTTTTCTGAACGACCAAGACTACCTTCCATCGCAATCCCAACTTATGATGGTAATGCTGGCAAATGGCTTACTTTCAAAAACAAATTCATTGCTATGGTCCACTCTCGGGATGATCTGACCAACTATCACAAACACAACCTATTAGAAATTTCGTTGACAGGCAGGGCTCTAGAAAAAATCAATTCGTTTACTCCTAGTGACCAGGCTTGGGCCACACTTTGTGCTGCCTACGATCATAAACGACTTATTGCTACTGAGCATCTTGACGCTTTACTCGATCTTCCTGTCGTCACTTCCTCAACCTATGACGGGTTGTCATTCCTTATCGATCAAACCAAACAACATCTCTACATGTTGAAAAAGATCGGAGTTCAGGTTAATGACGATATAGTTATCAGGATTCTTGAGAGACGTATTCCAAAGGCTGTCTTGGACAGGTGGCAAGACAAGCTTGAACCTGATCAGCTCCCAACTCTCGATGAATTTTATACCTTTGCACAAACTACGTGCTTCAAGCTCAGGTCGATAGAAAAGGCATCATCAACTAATCCTAATTATCCGCGAAAAAGGGGAAGCGAGCAAGTCTCCAAGGTTCATCAGTCCAAAGTTTCCAGAAATAATGCTAGGAGTTTTGTCACCAATGCCCCTGCCCAGGCAGCAACTGTCTCCAACAAAGTCGCTTGTCAGAAATGCAATAGCGATCACCGTCTTTTCAAGTGCCCCGAGTTTGCGAAGCTTACCACTCAGCAGAGGTGGGATTTTGTCAGGACGCATAAGATCTGTTTCAATTGCCTGTCTAATCATCCTTTTCCATGCAAAAGTACATCTTGCAAAAAATGTAACCGCAAGCACCACACGTTGTTACATTCGGACAAGAAAAACGTAGATTCTAACAATCAGAACCAAGGTCGAGGTGATGCTACTCAAAGTACATCAACTACTCCAAAAACAACCCCATCTTGACTAACTAGTTTTTCATTCACTTCTACTGTTTATCCT